ATTCAGCTTCTCACGCATGTCAAGTGACTGCCCTCACCCCCAACCCCCCTGAATTGGCTACATTCCCCCTGGCTCACGAATTTCCTGTTGCCGCAACGCCGCGCGCGGCGGCTGGCCCCCTCGAGCCCCTGAAACATATGGTATAGAAATCCTCTCAAACCTGCTCTCTTTTATCTGGCTCGTCCTGTAATATTTCGTTTTCCACGGTATTTTTGCCAATAGAGACTCCTTGGATGCCGCTGTTCTCAGAATTGATTCGAAATAGTGTTTTTTGTAAATTTTTCAAATAACACCTCTTTAGTCTCCATTCATACCGAAGACTCCAACGTTCAATACTCCCTCCGACTACTCTCCGCTTGGAACTGTGTACCAACTGAGTCGCTCAAGTCCAGGATCGGATGTAGGTCATACCAATCTTTCTAGATTTGACTGCCGTCCAATTGCTTTTCGGGTTATGAGTATTTCAGATGTTCAATAATATAACATCCGTTTGCAAGACTTACCGTTCTGCATTTCAGTTGGGAGTGCCTGTAACGCCACGTGATGACGCTCGAACAAGGAGTCCAACTCTTCTGCGGGCACCGTCTGCAATTAGCAGAGCGTTGTTTGCGAAAATTGAGGTGACTATCAATCTATTCAGAGGATTTGAATATATAGAAAAAACAAATCAACGTTAATGCATAACATTCATGGGATCAAAATACGGAGGTCGCCTAGCTTCATTTACTCATTAAACTTCTCTGGTCAAGAGCAGGCAGGTTCTTGATCAGAACAGTTAAATGTTCGGTGTTCGTGGCTAGAGAATTTCAGTAAGAGTACAGAGTTGAGAAATCCCCTGTGGTGCCCATTACATTCAATTCGAAGGTTAACCTTGATGCGTTTAGTGGGAAGGCGACGTTTTATTACAGCAACAAAGCATTATGTTGAATTATCAATATTGGATTTTCCCCATTCGATTATCTCAGCTGATCGACTTGTCCATATTAATATCAGTCGCCAATGATTTCGAAGCGCTGAGACGTTTTATACCATACTTATTACAGTTCAAACGAGTTTCAACTAATGGACCCGATAACATGGATTTGACTGGTGTGGCACCGCAGACAGAGTGCTGGAAGGAGACTTGGGATTGCGGTCGAAACGACACTGCTCCACTCGACGACGATTTTCTAGGATATTCGGGCGTCTTCAGCGTTTGATGTGACGGATATTGGAAACGATGACTCTGAGGAGGCTCCTGGGTCGGAAATGTATTCGGCTGAGGTATTTATTGAAGACTCAATTGAAATTGCCATAAGGCGCATCGTAATGCTCCTTAGAAATACACTGTTTGTGTCGAGAGTTGTACAGTTTGCGTTTATTGTAGGTTACGGATGAAATGGATGCCGCTGGTAAGACGAGGATGAAACGACGCACCCGCACTGAAAAGGTGAGAAGGTTTAATTAGATACTGCTGTGCTCTGTTCTCGGCTGTTCTCTATAGGATGGTCATAGGGAGGATTTGCTTTTGGGTACCAGACAGGAAGGCCCGTCGCGCGGCAAGAAGGCAGAGTCAGCGGACGAGTCGCGCGTACTGTAGATTCGCGTCAAGTTAAATAGAATGTCCATTGCACGTCCTACATCGCACAGCACGCGCTGCGACTCGTCCGCTGACTCTGCCTTCTTGCCGCGCGACGGGCCTCCTGTGAGGCACCCTTTGCTTTTTTGTATTTTTTTTTCTGTGAACTCCTTTTCAGTATTCACTAGAGCTCGTTTTCGTGGTTGCCCTAAATATGACTCCGCATTCGCCTTCTAAACAGTCATCCGTATTTCTTGTTCCATGTCTTTGCTTGGGCATTACCAAGTTTGTTGAAACTTACCAACATCGTCCTTTTCAAGGCTTATTCTATGATTGCCTTGGTGTAGGATTGTTTCTGTAATAAAAGTAGATGCCGCGATTGGCCGACCATAAATGAAGAAAAACGCAAGTGGTAGAATCATCAAGAGCACATGGCACGCTTTTCGTATAGCGGTGGTTGTACCCTTCTCAGAGCTCCTTGTTGGCACGATGAAGGGATGAAACCGATCAGTGAAAGGGAAGAGACTGATCAGTGAAAATTGCGCAGTATGTGTGCTGTTAAGTATTCATACTTCAATGTAGTAGGTTGTCTCATGAGTAGTGTCGTTTTTATTCAAACAAACAATTTTCTGCTAAGATTCCAGGTTTTCACATCAAGGTATGTACCACTTGAAAGAGATTTGCCCGTTCTACGAAAAAATATTAGGTTGTTCGGAAAGTAATGCGGGTTTCGAGATGCCATGCATTTAATGAAATATTTTTATACTGATATTTCATGCGAGACCTGAAGCCCTATATATCATTGGCAAGCCTATTGTATCTTCTTTCTATTCAGTTTCAATATGGCTTGCTATTTCGGGGTTTTTATAGATTTGAAATAAAGGTGTCAAGACAGCGATTTTGGCAAGTTTACTTCGATGTGCTGAAACTCTGAGGTAGTGCTTCGTAGACCAGTCGAAATAACACTGAAGGATGGGGCCAAGGAAGCACTAATAAAAGCACAGCACAACATCGGCTCCAACATTTTGGTCTCAATGAATTCCATCGTGAAGGTGAGGGGAGTCATGAGCATGATTCCGCTGTTAACGACGGCCTTCTAAAGGTTCCCGTAGAAGATGGTTTCGGACCAACTGCACTATAGTTAGCAGTAGGACTGGGAGTAAGTATATTGAAAAGATTGTGTCTCATGAAGATAATTGGGGAGGTGAAAAAGCTGAACAGATGGCTACCGCATTGGCTACCCGATGCAGCAGCAAAACCGTATTCCTAAGGTGTCGTTTCCACCCATTTTACGTAACGAAAACCACGAATATTAGGAAAGCATTGCAATCTAAAATGGAAAATGGACTGTTCACGAATATAGCAAGCCATCCCTTCACAAGCTGGACCGCGATGAATCTTCAAAAAGTTATCTAAAGCCGAAATTGTAGTAGGTCAATGTTGAGCTGAACATTCGGTCTCCCACGGGACTGATGCACCACACCTCTTGGGAACCAGGTGAATTTGACACAACACCAATGTCTCTCCAGCATACCGATGAGATGCTCTAGAAACACCAACTTCGTCAACCGAGAGAAATGAAACAACCCCTTCATGGTGGCGCTCAGCCACATGTCCCATAAACGACCTCGCAAAGATTGGACAAACTGGCATACGAAGCTTTGCTCAACACGTCGTACTCATTGGACCTCTCGCTCACCAATAACACTTTTTCCAACCATCCCGACAGCTTCTTGAGCGAGAAATACTTCAGTGTTCAAAGTGATCTGGAAACGACGTTCGATGATTTCATCGCCTACAGAAGCGCTCATTGTCACATGGGCGGGACAGTTGAGTGTGCATCTTGTTAAGAAAAATATTTAGTTTTGAATAGTTTTTGTTACGATCGAAAATGTTGAATTTGAGTGGAGATATGCTTCTTCAAAAATAGAGGTTGAAAACCCGCATTACTTCCCGAACAACCTAATATGTAAGTATGAAAGTAGTCGGATTGGCTAATTTTTGTCGGGTGGAGCTCCCATTTCGCAGGTCTAAACTTTTAAAGCTGGGCAGTGAATGAAAAGCGAGTCACTCTTTCTCGTAGTGCAGGCAATTCTCTTTCGAACACTATAACTTTGTATGAAAACATTGGATTTCAGCGGGAAATTACTTGTTTGAGAAACGCCGACACTACTTATAATAGGACAACCTAATATATTAACCCTTTGACGACCGCCGTTATGAATGCGTCACTTCACTTCTTTCTAAATTTTTTCATCAATAATCATTAACTCTCCAACAATTTCACTATTAGTAATTAGCGCATTATTCCGCGAATTCGATGATGTATTTGTGTAGTTTTGAAACATAAAAAATGCCAAAATAAACCCCCAAAAAACGTGTCGCCACCGAGCGAAAGTGTGGCCCACCGGCGGGCCACACGGTCGTCAAAGGGTTCAAGAAAACATGTTGTTTTACTGTCGAAAAGTATATTCACGGCTCTCTCTCTCATTACTGGCCCAAGTTTTCGCAGCTTACTTTAATACGCAGAACGCATTGTCTTAATCAGAACGAGATTCTGGATCTTCAGGACTGCGTAAATAAATTCACAACAGGGAACCAGCGCAGACATTCCGTTATAGCTGTTGTGTGTAAAGTTTTTCTAAAAGCAGGATTACTGTGTGGCCGCAACCATCTGATGATGCAAAGCTTTCGGAGTTGATTTGCTGTAAACAGCTGACGAAGGCTTATGTAATGTAATGTATTAGCATAGTTTCCGAAATGCTCAGGTCCGAGTTCTATTCACAATCGATACGGCGCGCTTTGACATAACGGCATTTTATTAGTAACCATTCAATGGAATGTTTTATAAGCTGTGCGCACAGCAATGGGTAAAGGTGGAAACTCAGTGCACGTTACTTCCAAACATAGCTAAACATGAATGGTAAAGCGCAGCGGCGAGCTGTTATGTCTAAGCAAGTGGTATCTGAGGAGTTTTCTGGGCCGTTACGGTGAATATGGGCATAAGCCTACTTTTTTTTAGGAGCGAATGGGCTTGGAGCGCATGCAAAATCCTCATCACCGAGCTCGACAAATGAATAGCCTTGCTAGGAAGATTGCTATGGACGTCAAGCAGCGCACCTTCATGCATCAGGACGTATGGCGTACCGTTGAACGCATTGTGCTCGGCTCAGATAATATGGAAACGGTAAGTGTTCTATCATTCATACTAATAATTACGGTTGTATTCACACTCGCGTAAGTGTAGGTGAGTAACACGAGAGAGAAGGGGCTTTGTAATAGTGTAATGATTCTTGGTGAATAACTGCGGTTGGATGGCTCCGTGATACTTACATAGGTAACATGTATGCTCAGATTTCAGCAGTTCGATCGCCTCAAGACCGTACTATTTCCAAATCATGCGGACGTGTTGGTCTTACTCTCATTGCTAGCAGATGAGGCGGTGTTGCCGCCGGAACTACTCACAAGTCCTCTTCGTCGAGCGTATCACGGGGCTGTTCAGATGTTATTAGCCATTGAAGTGAGTTCATCCATTGTGCTATCGTTTCCTTTTTCGTTGAAGCTAGGAAGGATTTTGAATACCAAGGTAGACATCTTAACCCTCACTAACAGAAGTGAGGAAAATGCGCCGTATCAGTTCCTTGAAGGTGGGCAACAAATTAGTTAGGACCAGGGTCAACCGTCCGTTGGACAAAGTCCAACGCGACGACGAGAGTAATGCCGAGAGTGAACGTACGCACGGAGACACAGACGGCTCGCGGGTGGCGAGAGTGAATGCCGGCGCGGAGAGCGGTGAACATCGGTCCAACGTCGCTCCAATATCGGTCCAACGTAACGGTTGACCCTGGGTTACACCACGAATAACAACTGCAGCCAAAATCGGCTGCAGTTGTTATTCGCGGTGTAACGGCCTATCCGACGGGGAATCTGAGGAGTATTGCAAACTCGAATATTCTCTGATATGTTCTCTTTGGCGCTATTTCTTCGTGATAGTGCTCTCCATCTCACAGAAAGAGGCTCCTATTTTTTAGACCATAAAACACATACAAGGAATACCCCACAGATTCCTAAAATCACTTCAGAATCCATTCCTAAGATGGGCGCAGTGGACTGGTGGCCCCTAATCTAGGCTTTCATGGTTATCGTCACTATCGAGGCCACGCTCTCACAAAAGTCATTGTGGAGAAGAAGTTGGAACAGCCAGATTTTTGTCTGATTGGATCCATCAGGAGCATCTTTCAGATGATGACGAGGGGATCGTCAAAATGACTTTTGGGTACATCCCTAACCCGACGAATTTTGGTTTCTACTGAAGGACAGTCTTCCTGAGGTTGTATGCATCCGAAAGGCCTGTTCGATTTCTGTAATCCGTTTCCGCAAGGTTATTTCCGAAGGCAAACTCCACATATTCCACCGAAAATTGTATCAAAATTAACGTCGAGGTTTACCATGTGAAGAAAATCTCTATAATGTACCCTTTCTTCAACTGTATCGAGTGAGAGAGGGACGCATCTGTTCTTGCATGTCGTTGTATGCCACTGAATCCACGCTGCAGTTCCGTGGTCGCCGTTTTAGGCTTAGCGGCCGATGGATACCGGGCCATATTACTCCCCCGATTTAAACAGTCTGTATTCTCCAGTCTAGGGTTTCTCATAAACAAACATCATCTCAGAGCACTCTAGTATATATTTTGTTGTACATTCCAGGCGTACTGTCATGGCACTCGTTCTCGCAGTTCGAATACACGAAGTCTCTTGAAAACTATTGGCAGTATGGGTGAGTGAATCGCACTCTATTCATCCTTTGACATCAATGGTCAATGTAATTTTCTGCGTTTTCGAAAGCCCTGCTGCTGGAGCGCTTATAAATAAGAAGAAAAAATCTGCTAGATTACTGTACAGGAACTTTTGGGATTTTGCTTGCCTCAAGTGTTTTTTGTGAGCGTCTGCCTTTGAGGTAAGCAGATGTCCATCAGTACGGCCGTGGGTTTCGGCAACAAACAAGAAAAACCTCAAATTTCTCCAGAATCACTAACCTAATAGCAAGCATAAATAACTTCCCATAGCTGAAAGTAACACATTTTATATCACGGAAGCATCTTTGAGTATTCCTTGTGGTAAAACATGCACTATGTAAGAATATGCAGTAAGAATAGGTACTACAACCCTTCCTGATTATCATATCATTGCAAAAAGTTTTTTGCCTGCGGACAAGAGCCAAAAGTTGGGGTTTCACCCAGCTTCGGACGATTTTTTCGCCGATGGATTTTAGGACATTACAGAAAGCGATTTTCACAGTTCTCGGTATATAAGGACCGATTTAGCTTTCACCTCGATTCTCCTTCGCTAACCGCTGCCTACTTTTTTCAATCTTCGTGCATTAGGGAACGCTGCATAAGTTTTAGGTGTTGGATATTGTGTGCACCGTGATTGCTGCACGCTGTAGCACCAAAATCACTGGGCACTCCCTCCTTCGTCGGCCTCATAAACCTTTTTTTCTCGGACCTAAGCCGTCAAGGAACCAAAGCCGAAATTTTTGAAATTGGCACCGTGCAATTGTGCGCTCGTCCTACCCATTTTAAACTAGGTTGCGCCCGCCAGCGTATCTTTTACATCTTGGCACATGCCACATCCTTTCCACTTGAACCGATCTTTCCACATGGCTCCTCAGGTAATACCAAATTTCGTGACAAAGAGAAGACACGCTTCATAGTAAGTAGGATAGTTGTAGGAATGTGGTTTGACGTGGACTTGTTGTGGTATGGCGCACGAACTGCTCTTTTCCACAGAAGGAAACATGCTGAAGTGTGCACCTCCTCGTCAAATGGCGTATTGAGCGTAGCACGGGCGGGCTGTCCTTTTCGTGAGTTGGATCTGGCGGCAGACAAGTTGGTTGTTGACATAAAAACTAGCTTTCTTTGTAGCACGCGATCTCTCTAGATTTACGGGTACAATCAGAAACCTGGAAAATCTCTGGGCTTGGGATAACTGTGGCACAAGTCATCACCGTCATCCGTACGGTCTATGAATCGTATATCGCCTCAAACAGAGCTTGTCTAGGAGGAAAAAATCTAGATTGAACCCTAATTACTATAAAGCGCTTCGTCTGCCGCTCTGTATACATCTCCTACTCCCTTAAGGTTTTAGAGACTAGGTCAAGTGTATGGGCCACGTCTCGAGAAGTACAGAACATACATAATTAAGGGAAGCTCCGCCCCCACTGGGCATGGCATGCATCGAAATGAGCGGTGCTTACGACGAAAACATAGTAAATGTGGCGTTGCGATTAAACAGCTTTGCAATTTTTTTGTATTCGAAAAATGCGCACTGGATGTTCCCAAAATCCTGCATGAGAGTTTAGTGCCTTTCGTATTGTGTGAAGAGATCACTGCAGACTGTTGGTACTCACTACAAAGGCTCTGCAAAACAAAACAACTCGTCTGAGATAAAATTTAATATATTGTTTTTGAAGTACTCATCCGTTCTGCTTAAGTGTGGACATTACATCTGCCCCCGTATTCAGCGTCAGTTACTTGTTTTTTCGTTGATTTGTACTTGGAACGTGGAGCTTCATGTTTTCAGGGCAAACGTTAAACGAGTCTGAGTTCTGCGATCGTCTTGCCGACCTGCTTGGCAATGAGCGGCCGTTGTGGAATTACATTCGTCAATGGCTTCCGTTGGCATATGATGAAAAGTTCGTCAAAACCTTAGTATTTCAACTATTTGAATGACTAGTTTGGCATTTTGAAGGGTGACTCCGGCAGATTTTGAATTCATTGATCTTTGTAAACGTTCGGATTCGGATGTGCTTGAAGACCGTTGTGCGGAATGCATTGATGATCTGAATGCAGTTCTTGGAACACTTCCTCCGAAGAGAGGTGGACCTCTACAGGTATCTTACTATTTCTTTCCCTTTGAGTGCAAAGTCGGTGTCCCAATCGGCAAATCCAGCGGTGATATGGATATGCTTGCTTATGCAACAAAGGCAAGGATCACGATGGTGGAGGGCGCTGTGGAGTTTAAAGGACGAATTCACGATGAAAAAGCAACCCATTTCAAATTAACCTAGGGATGGTGAGTGGTACACGAAAGAAGGAAGAACCATGAGAAACGGCCCAGAACCCGAGAAATGGGACCCCTTCCTTGCCCGTTGATTTGAGCATTGATGCGACTCTCATCGCTGTGCCCTCTTCAACACTACGCTCTCTCAGCTATCTAATCACTCGCCACGTATTGAACTACGGCGAGTGATCAGATGATCGGTGGGCGGAGATCGCCGGACCCGCCAGCTTTGAGGCATGATAGGTCGCCGAGGTCAAATTTTTCCATGCGAATTGCGCGTCAGTTCGCACCCTCAGGAGGTCCGTGGGTCCCTCAACTAGGTCAGTTTCCCTTTCTTCGACCTTCGTGAATTCCTCCTTTAAACCACCAGTGACGTTTGGTGACGTCACCAAGGCGCAGCGGCCTCCAGCAATGTTTCATTGCCTTTAAAAGCACAGCGGATGTGTTTCGCGGAATGAAATGCTAGATTGTCACTCTTATGCACCAGTGCGAAGTATTCTTTGAAATCGGTGCTACGAGTACATGTAGAGTTCAGTGGAGTACATAAGTCCTCATAAGATTAATCGTCTTATTTAGGTAACTGGTGGCCAGTTGAACTCCCTTCAGAATGGTGTATATGTTCCTATAGTAATTTCTAAGGAGAAAGCTATGAAAGAAATCCCAGCAGCTGTCGAGACAGAAGTCCGTGTGAGTATCTTTTTAGATTTATGACGCTTTCCATTTCAAATTGTGAATGTGTATTTTTAAAGCTCTGCCTTGGGCGAACTGAAGCCATCTCGGCAGTTTTCAAATATTACTCGAATTTTGTTTCTAGGAGCCATCTTGGACTAAAGAAACCGATATGATGATCCTGAAGACTTACAATGACGTGGAAGGAGGTGTCGAGGATGTAGTGAAGGAATTGGTGAGAATGATACCGTACTCCTTCGCAGATATAGAAAAAAGGCTGAATTTCTTGATTTCTCTATTTTAAATGTCATTGCAAGGTGCAGCAACAGTTCATTCATACACTTGTTATAGATAGGATGGTTAATTGTTCAGTGACATTTTCTTAGGTAAAACGCCAATACTATACCTTATGCTTTATATCATTCACGTGTATTGAACAAACATTAGTGGCAAGTTATTCTCATTTTCTGTTGATCTCATTACTCAGATTTCCGGTTGCGTCTTAGCGATGTCTCCTAATTCTTATTCGATCTCTTTACTGTTGTAATCAAATCATTGGCGTGGTTTGAACATGCTGTTAGACCCCACCACTATAGTGTAAAGTGTGGGTGAAACCGTATGAAGAACAGACCTATGTCACGAGATAGTCACGATTGATGCTCGTGGAGGATTTGGACGTATGATCAAATGATCTTCTTTGCAAGCTGTTAATTTAAAAACCCTCAAATGTTTGGATATGCTGTTCCAATTCTAAGTAATACCCCTTAGTAGCGTTTTAGATCAATTGAGTGCTGAAATCTGCCAGCTATCGTAGCGATATGTAAATAGTATTATATTGCGGTTTACCTTCTGTTTTTAATCTTGGCCTACATGAATTTACCCCAGCCTGCCCGCTGCCCATCCAAAATGTCTTCCTGGCTCCAACGTCGTATACTCATATGGACAGGCGTGAAATGCGTCATTGTCGCTGATTCGATATCGAGAAGTTGATGAGTATTGAGCGTTTCCAAGGTTTTCCATGAATCACAAATCACCTACCGTCTACATAGTCCTTTATGTTTAATTGTGCTTTTCATTAACGGCCTGTTGCCATTTTATTGACTTAACTGCTTTATTCTGCTCTTACGAGAAGGAGGTGTGTTACTTCAGGAAACCGCCGCAGCTTTTCCTCGCAAGAGGTGTTCTTCCTGTATGATATAGGGGTAAGTGCAATGGAAACGCACGGAGAACTTGGAGTGGTATCATTTTATCCTGAGCGGCCCTCCGAATAACTAGCACAATAGTAGGAGTACGCAAAAAGGTTGCATATAACTCTCGCAGCGCAACAATTTCTTTTGGCATTTTGTGTTGAGCTGTGTTTCAATCAATTCGTGAAGAAAAAGCATGCCAGTCAGCAAGAAACTCAGCCAATGTTACCATCCTATATAAATTATAGGACCATCAGAAAGTTTTATGGGTAGACTTTGATTAAAAAAAACTGGTGAACCAAGTCAAGAACGACAGCTCCTCAAAAATTTTTTTTCTTCGCCCCTTTTTCGGTATTCAGAGGGCATCGCTCAGGAAAAATGAACCACAGCTCTGTGTTCCATGCTCGTACCTCTATATCATGCAAAAAACCGTTTCGGGAAAGCTGGGCATTTCCTGAAAGACCTTCCTTCTTCTGTTACTTCTGTTACTTCGAAGATAATTTATCTACGAAAATTTTAATGAAGTTCACCTGTGAATTGCACATTGACTGGATAGTAAGCATTAAATTCTTCTGGCAAGACATCACTTGAACTGAATCTGATTCTGATCGCTCTTGATTTTGATTTTTGTTGCATCTAGTTACACCAATAATTGTTGTACATATAACTCGAATATTTTTATTAATAAATCTACACGAGTTGTTATGTGCAGAGCTTACTTCAACGAAGACTCGATTGGTGTTGTTTCGTTTAGATGAATAACGTCTGAAGATATTTCGGTTAATAAGGTACCGAAGCTTGATCAACATACTGTAGCATAATGCGCGAAATACTGACGCTAGCCTCAAGGTTGAGAGTTATGCACTGTTGAGGCTTCTGCCAGATAATTCGCGCAAAGATTAATAGTGACCAGATTTCTACCGAGTTACCTGACAGGGTCCCGTCGTTGCGGCAGAAGGCAAAGTCCAGCGGAGAATCGGGCAGGTGCGTGCCATATATGCGATCATATTGGCCATGTCAGACTTTGGGACCTACATCGCGTCCAACGCAATTTCCGACCAAATCGCTCTTTCGCGAGTGCCGCCGCGCGCATCGCTAGCGCAGTCGCTCGGATTCGCAAAGTCTGAATGCTGCCTTCACGTACAATAATAAGATCCATTTTAAAGGAATCTTGCGCGGAAAAATCATGATTCTATTTCAGCCATAAATCACTGGCTTGAGACTCATTATCCACGATAATAGTGAAAAGAACTGAAGTATTGCTTTCGTTTTGATTAGAAATTCGAAAACTCGAAAAGGCTGCTACGCGTTCGAATTGCCCACGGACGTCTTTCACGAATGCTGGCGACGGGGATGCTCAAACTTGGTTCTTGGAGTGCATTCACTAGAAGCTCTTTCTGGCCTTCTGCTTCGTTGCATTCACATCTTACACTTCTACTCCATCCTATTCCATCGATCGATTTGTCTCCACTCTCCGAAATCGCGCGCTTTAACCCGATTCTCTCATTGCGTCGCCTGGTACGTAGCCGGCCAAACGCCGTCTTCTTTCTATGCCCTTCACCATTGGCTCTTCTCCTCGCTGGTTGCGCGTCGGATAATCCGAGTAATGTGTACGTTTTTGTCACGTTTTGATTTCTTCTTCAAGAAACGAGCAACTCTCACTGCGGCTAGAATTCTTGTGTGCTAGTTATAGTGACACACTGACATATTACATGTTAGGATAAGCGTTGCACAGAATTTTCCGCGCCGAGGTTCCTTAAGCTTGACGTAAAATGCGAACTTGCTCCACTGACTCTGCCCTTTTCGCCGCGTGCACGGGTCTCTCTGTCGGGTACCCCAAATTCTAACTTTGGCTGTAATTTACTTGGTGATGGTCGCGACGAATTGTCGAACTTCCCGCATCCGTTACGGAACAGGCTTCCTACATCGAGGAGAGCTTTGCGGTCACGGTTTTCGTAATATAGTATGGAAGCGGAAAAGCAGTAATCAGTCGTAGGCGCTTAAACATTCGGCACATACGTTTGAAACAAACAAACAAAACTAATTAGTGATATTTTCTTTGCCATGTTTACAATTTCGATTCCGCAATTTTTTAATTCCAAATCGTATTCGTAATGAAAAAAAAGAAGGTGTTGAGCGCTTTTCGGAAGTCACCTCATTACCCTCATTTTGTAGCGACATAAAATATCATCACGCAATTGAGTAGAACGAAAAGGTTATGGCTTGATCCAGAGCGAATCGGATTACGATTGGATGTAATGAACAACTCCCGCCCTTGACAGATTCTGGTCTCATGTAAATCAAGTCATGTAAATCACAGACTAGCAGCTGTCGAAATGTCGATTTTTTCCGTACGGATTTTCCAACTTCAAAGCCCTACGTCTAAGTTCACTTACACAATACAAGAAAATAAACTGACGCATAGTATTATGGAGCGAAAAGGTGCCTTCATCTGATATGCACTGCTTTCCGGGTTATGTTTGTATTGGTTGAACTTTAAGCTCGACGACAGTGATGACAAATTACGATGTTTCAAAGGCAGTAAAGGAGTGATTGGTTGAAGCCAAAGGCAGAATGACTTCTTCTGATCCCCTCCTCCTCCTGTAGTGCCTTTGTAGTGTACGTGGAAGTAGGTGTATGTGGGTGTATACAGGGGGGGGGCCAAAAAAAAGACATTTTGCCTATGTCGGACTTCGGCTCTTTTTTCTTCGCAGAGATTGCTGTCGTTGACGGGAGTTCCTCAGCAGAGTATTCCCTAAGTGTTCCTCTATTAGTGTACGCAGGCTCTCCTTCACTGCCCTCACCGTCTTCAGACAGGGTCAACCGTCACGTTCGAACATTTTCGGGATTTTTGCGACCCCCTAGCTCTCGAGGGGGTCCAGTTGCGACCCCCTGTTTTTGTTAATAAGAGTGCTAGACATGAATCCGTTGCGCCAGAAAGCGTCTGCGCGTGTCGGCGTCAGCCTTGGAGCGCGGCAGGTATCACCCGGGCGCTGGAAGAACGGGACGCGGCGAAGAAAAAATTTTAGAGGGGAATAACTTTCTTGGGACGTATTTTTTGACTTGTTGAGGTAGATTTTGATTGTGCCTGAGGTGCGCTTCCAGAAAACTACAAGGATTGCCTAACTCTCCGGAAAGTACTTCTGTTAGAAGCGGAAAACCCAAAATTCTAAGAAGGCGCACCTTCAACTTTGAAGGCCCATAAAATCTTTCGTATGCGACATTTTGGAAATCTGTAAAAAGTTTCAGAAACTTCAAATATTTCTCTAACAAAACATTATAAAAAGTTTGACGATTGTCCCTTTTTCAAAAAATTGTCCCGTTCGAACATTTTTCGTGCAAAAGCGAGTTTTTGGGCTTTCAGCGACCATAACTCACTTCATTTTCATTTCTGTGATGCACTTTTCCATGGGGTTGGAAGTGAAAGAGCAGAATTTGCTCTTTTTAACAAGCCCTAAACCATTTTTCGAAAGTTATCCATTTTCGAGAAAATCCCACGTTCGAACATTTGGATCCCATAGGTTTTTGAGCAGCACATGCGAGTTTTCGAGCTTTCAGCAATAATAACTTCCTTCAAAGAGCATGTTGGAAAGAGGCGAAGACATTTTTGAAGACTACGAGATTTCTGCTTTCTTATGTGTTTTACCGTTGTCTGGAAGAATCGTCCTCAGAAAATCAGGTCCCGAAGAACTTTAATTTCAGCCCCGAGAAGTCAAACCTTTCATAGGGATGCATTCAACTGTTCTTTATTCCTCAAGGAAAACACCGTAATTTGATTTGCCTAAAACTGTCTCTCTGTGCATAATTAATCGAATCTAATGCGGTCTGCACAAACAAACTCTTGCCCTCGGATAATCGCCACGTCACAGAACGCGCCCTGTGGCCTGAACAGTCTCTCGGACATCCGCGACCTGGCTAGACATTCGCCTTCTTCCTTGATTCAAAAATGCCGACCCCAGCGATAACTTCGTATAATGTATGCTATACGAAGATATTACGCCTCTCCAGAATATGACGTCATCTGTCACCGTCGTCAGGCTCAAGGAGGTCTACCGTAAGAGCTTCAGCCTGAAGCTCTTACGCAATTTCGTGAATCGATTTAATGTTGGATAGTTTT